CGGCTAATACCTCCGTTCCCCCCGGTACGGGGGTCATCCTCGTGACCCCGCGATCTTTGCGCTCGTCGGTGATATCGTGTCGCGGTTCGGCGGGTCGTTGTTTGTACGTCCCCTGAGACGACCTCCACGGCTCAGCCTTCGGTTAAGACCTCCGTGCCCCCCGATACGGGGGTCATCCTCGTGACCCCGCGATCTCCGCGCCCGTCGGTGATATCGCGTCTCGGTTCGGTGGGTCGTTGTTTGTACGTCCCCTGAGACGACCTCCACGGCTCAGCCTTCGGCTAAGACCTCCGTGCCCCCCGGTACGGGGGTCATTCTCGTGACCCCGCGATCTCCGCGCCCGCTGGCGTTGTCGCTTCGCGGTCCGGTGGGTCGTCATTCGGGACCTCCATGGGACGATTCCCGTGATTCGGCTATTGGCTGCGACCTCCGTGCCCCTCGGCGCGGGGTCACCCCCGTGACGCCACGATCTTAGCGCCCGCTGGCGCTATCGCGTCGGAATTGATTCGATTGCCCTCCGGGTCGCTTCTGAAACGATTTACGCGGCTCAGCCCCCGGTTATGACCACCGTGTCCCTTTTTGCGGGGGTCATTCGCGTGACCCCGCTATTTCCGCGTTGGTCGTTCCCGGCGCTTCGCGTATCGGGTGGTTTGCCTCCGGGTCACCCCTGAGACGTATTCCGGAGTTCGGCTCCCGGCTATTACCGATATACCCTCGCTCGCGGGTGTAAATCTCGTGATCCCGCTATCTCGCGTGTCTTTCGTGCTATTTCGACCGCGTTCGTCCCGATCTGCTCTGCTTGGCTCTCTTTCCAAGGCCCGCTTGTTGGCTCGCTTGGTCGATCATCTGCCGCTCGCCCGCCGGGGTCAATCGTACCCCGGTCACCTATATTTCAGGATTCAGGTAAACGCTAGCCATATGGGCTCTTCGGACTCGCTTATCCGGTAATACTGTTCGCAAATTGTCGATGCCCGCTGCTCTCCAGGTCGGTAATGCCCCTCGAGGATGTTCGGCTACTCAGCTATGCGGACGGTTGCAAGGTTAGGTTAGGTTGTGACCGGAACAACGATTGATGATGTTAAAATCAAAATATAGTCACTTACTACTTGGGCTGAATTATACGGTCGCCACTGTATTTTAAGGCTCAAATACAGAAACCTCTCGCTGTTGCTATGTCCCTTCCTTCCTTCCTGCTTAATAGCCGCCGTGTACTGCGCCGCGAACGTGTTCAAGGCCGTCGACCACGCCCTGTTATAACGACGCGTAATTCCGGACGTATGGATAGGAATTTCACTGGGATCACGATTGAAATCACTTATTTTAGTAATAAAATGATTAACAATTTATTATTCTCCTCACTACAGCAATCTCCGTGTAGGAACGGACGCGTTCGCTCGATCGCGTGTATCGTACGTCGCGTGTTCTCGAACCGCCGTCTCGCATACAATTAGCACTCTCGTGTTTGAGGATCTGATATCCCGGATCGCGTAATCGCTTCTAATAATCTCTCTCTCGACAATAAGTCACGCTAACAGCGCAAGCAATCAACGGGATTAGCCGGCCGACACGTGTTTTGTCACGCAAGGTCTACGCCACGTAATCGCGCAACGGACTATCCGCGATGAAATATCACACGCGCTTATCGTAGGCGGTAAACGGGATAAGCAAGCCGAAGTCGAATTTGTTACGCGCAACGCTCAATGTGTTGACGCTTCGATATCTCACGGCGAACTGTCCACGAGGGACGGGTGTGGTTCTCCCACCTAGGCGCGACGCATGCGCCGTGACGCGCAAACGGGCGCCAAGCTCTCGCATTGGCTAGTCGTGCCCGCGGTGTAGCTGGTACGACTCCTCAAACACTAAAAGTGCAGTTCGAACTGTGCCGAGTCGTTCTCGTTGACTCGGCATCTACACTTTTAGCGAGATGCCGCTCCTTTAGGTGCAAAGACGCGAATTGGCTATCGCCCGCGCGTGAACCAATCGCGCCGCTGCACCGCGAATCTTCGCGTAAGCGGACTTAGAGTCACTAGGCTCGCACCGAGTGACTCTCCACGTATGAAAGTCATTTTAAACGAATCCCTACGAAACCAGGTAAGTACGCGTTAATCGCGATTGTAATTAATTTTTTTCTTTTTGTTTCAGGTGTCCCGGATCGTTTGAGGAATCGTCTCTTTTAATGTCACCGGCGGTGATCAACGGTAAGTATATAATAAGGTAAGTATCATAATAGCGATTTAATTTATCGCATGCATAATGAATAATACATAAATTGTCTTTACAGTGACAGGGAAAGTTAAAAAGTTATCAAATTAAAGAATACAAAGTCAAAATGGCTCAATTCCGTGCCAAAGTGTAAAAAAAACATAAAAGTGTAACAAAGTGTAAATCAAAATAAGCATAATTGCAATAAAGTGTAATAAAATATAAACGTACGCCTGGAATGAATCCATATGGCTCTAAGTAAAATATCGAAGTAATAAAAGTGTATTAAAGTGTAATTCGGTGTAGAACCTTCGTTGGTTCGGCTCGCACGCTCGCTGGTAACGCGCTTGTGTATAAAGTGTAAGAAAGTTGTATCAAAGTGTATGAAAAGTGTAACGCCTATGTTGGCTCGTGTTGCACGCTTGCTGGTAACGCGCTCAAGTATAAAGTGTAAAAAAGTGTAGGAAAGTGTATGAAAAATGTAACGCCTATGTTGGCTCGTATCGCGCTCTCACTGGTAACGCTGTGGTGTGTAAAGTGTAGGAAAGTGTAGGAAAGTGTAGCGAAATGTATCATCTCTATCGGTGTCGTTTTCATGCTATGTTCTCAACGCTACGAGTGTAAAAAGTGTAAAGATGCGTCGCAAAAGTGTAGGTGTGTCATTCCCCTGCGGGATCGTTTAAAATCATTATGTATGTTGTGAAAAGTGTAAACAGAACAAAAACTAAGAACGGATCTGGAAAATTAATAATTAACGGTACGAATATAATCGTAACGACCACTAGGTATTCTGAAAACTTCATGCTTGATTGATTCTACGGTAATTAATGATATTGTGAACCGGCTTTATGTGAATACACTAGCAGTAAGATTGAAACTATCGTTATCGCGAACAAAATAAATATGAAAGCTAATACAACTATTCGGACCTTGTCCGAGTCCATCTTCTAATCTAAATCTGTGCCCTCTGGCTTAATATCTCATGTAACGACAGGTGAATGACTGGATTAAAGTGTAAGGATATATAAAAGGTTTATTTTTATGTGTGTTCACAATTGTAGTGTGTAAGTGTAGAGAGTGTAATTAAAAAGGTGTATTAATAGATCGTAGCCGTGCTACTTCATGCAATAATAATAAAAGATATGAAAATGAATAATATAATATATCGAATCTCATGGGAATATGAACCCTGCTTAATCCTATAAGTGTGTTCTCGTAAAAGTTACCATAAAATCAAAAATTAAAAAAGTTCGTACAAAAGTTAATGAAAATAAAATAAAATGAACGGTCTTTCACAAATCACAAGAACCACTTGTCTATAATCGCTCGAATTCCATGACCTGTGATTCGGCCGCGTCAGGCTGCTGCCTCTTCTGTACTTCCGCACGTCCGGGTGGTCCAGCGGGCTGTGAGCCCACCTTCAACAGTCTGCTGGGGGTCGATTACGGTTTTTGAGTGAGCTCATTCACTTTTCACATTCTCATCTCACGCGACTTTGTTCACCCGATTATCGATGTGTCGAGTGAAATTGCGAGATCACTAGGCACTTCCGGTCTAGTCATCTCGCAGTTTCACGCTGTCCATTATCGTAGCCCGGAACGAGGAAGAGATACGTTGCCTCAAGAGTGAGGGATCTAACCTAAGAGTGAAAAGAAACTTCTTACTCTTATAAAAGCTGTTGATAAAGAACGAGGCGTAAGTACTTACATCTATCATAGTCGTGGACGAAATGTAAGGTAAAGAAAAACGTAAGTCGTGAAAGGCTGTTGTACATATGTATGTACAATAACCTTTTAAGTCTTACGTTTTTCTCTGCCTATACTTTTCGTCCACGCTACGACAGACATCTCGGTTTTTCCGCGAGTTCACCGAAATTTTAAATATGAACGTGACGAAAAAGCAAAAATCAGTGATGTTAAATTATATGAAAGACAACCCCGATTTTGCGAGGGATCGCTTGCGATATAATGGTGCAAATAAGAAAATATTAGTAAGTATATAATATACATTGTTGTTATAATGAAGAGTTGCATTATTTATTGTCAGTAATTTTGCAAATATAGGGACCTATTTTGTAAACATTAACGATATTGTTATGTGCTATTTCTATGATATATTATGATATATAGCACCTAATGATGTCGTTAATGCTTACAAGATCCCATAGCCTCATTGTAGATACTGTAATTCCAATAATTAATTAAAATTTATGAATGTAAATAATAATTTGATATATCTTATATAATTTTTGAATAATTTTTTTTGCATAGGATGACATGTGGTCGAATATAACAAATTCGTTGAATTCAATTGGAAGTGGCCCACAGAAACAACCAAAAGAGTGGCAAAAGGTATGTAAAAGACATAATTTGGTGTCAAATAAGGACCAAAGCATATAACATGACATAGCGGTATACGACAGTCGTATATCACTACGATATGGTATGTGCTTAGGCTCTAAGCAGTGTATAAAATTAATGTGGATCATGCAAGGAACATGTAAACAATATAAATAAATAATAATAATAATAATAAATAATATTAATAATTTTTTATTTTATGAATACATTTTTATGAATGTATTTTTATATTTGTACAGACATGGAGAGACTGGAAAGCCAATGTATTAAAGAAGTGTACGCAGAACAAAAGTTATGCTATGGGTACAGGTGGAGGACCTCTTAAAACCATTGCGTTAACTCAACTTGAAGAAGAGTTAATGGAGATTTTAAGTCCCGAAGCTATTGGTTTGGACAGTATACCTCAAGGTGGCTCTTTTAATAGGATTAAAGAGAAAAAATCTTCCGATACCATCTCTCCACAAGAAGAATCTTTACTTAGAAATGTGCAAAGAGTGCAAGCTAGTAGAATAAAAGAAGTACATACCATTCCTACATCTACACAGACAAAAAGGGTATGATGCACTTAAAAATTGTTTATTCTTCTATTATTATACAGTTTATATTATCTCAGCACACACCAAGTAACGTGTAACCTATATGCAAGATATAATTTTTTACTTAACAATGTAAATGCAATATAACACATGTGTTGAGTAGGAAATTATAACTTGCATATACTTGGTACTTGCTAGGATATAATTAATAAACTAAAGAATAACTGCTGCCATTAAAGAAATTTATGATTTATAGAAATGTACTTCAATATTGATAAATGCTGCCAAAATACAAAAGGGGACAGAAGGAAAGAATCCGATCTCATCAACGTGTTCGAGTACAGTTGTATCTAATGACATTGTTGATCTTTCATTCGACTTAGATTTTGAACCAAAGGTAACTAAAATCATTTAATTGAACTTGATTGACGTGTATAATTTACATGTCACTATGATAAATATATGTTTTCAGGAAATAGAACCACCAGAAGAATATTCTAGTTTTTCCGATACTGACACGATCAATGAATACCAAAGAATAAATGCATTGACTGACGAAAATAGAAAAGCATTGCCAAGTGTCACGATCGATTGCATACCTGAGCATCGTACGCAACAGAACAAAGGTATTATGTACATACAATTAATTTTCTCATATATTGTAACGTTGATATTATAAGATGTAAAATAGAATATAATTTATATAATCTTGTTTCAATTTCTGTGATTATACAGCTAAAGACAGAAATGAAAATTGTGCAAGATCAGCTGTACAATTAATGCGAGAAAAAGTCGAGGTATTACAAGAACAAGGTGCGTTTAACAAGAAAACTCAAGAACGTCGAAATGAAATTGAAGAGGAAAAGTTGAAGATTTTGAAAGAAAACATAGCTTTAAAAAAACAAAAGTTTCAGTTCCTTCAGACTAGTCATTCAGAATATAAAGATACATTGACTAATATTGATGATAATTTATTACGTTTAATAGATGAAGTTGAAAAAGTTGTGCCTTCTTATTTAACATAAAAAATATATACGTAAAACGTGTGTATATACATAATATGTATTGAAAGTATATATATTTTGCAATAAAGTGCAATACAATGTTTCATTGAATATTTTATACAGAATTATTATTCTAACCATGATTCATACAAAATTATTATAGTATACAATTATTAACTAATAACTTATATCAAAGTAAATAATATCTTAAAATCACACCGGTCTTACATTCTCAAAATACATATGAATAATCCGCTCGCGAACTTCATTTCCATTTTCCATGTTTCCTTCTTCATTTCTTACTGGAAGTTCCAGGTCTAGTGCATAATGCAAAGCTCGTTCTTTCCTGAGACATCGCCATCTCCCCTTTAGAACACCTATGCATCGCTCAACAGAGCATCGAGCCCGGATATGATGTTGAGTGTACCTTGCAGACGGCGCTCCCTCTGGTTCATGTAGCTTAGGTGTCATCAGATATGGTAGTAGAGGATATGCACTATCTCCTAGAAAAACCATATACCGTTTAAAATATGCTTTTTAAATGCATTGCTAAAACGGAAATAATTAAGAACAAATTATATAAAAATATAGTTACCTAAAAGCCAGGCATCTTTTCGCCCTGTAGCATACATTTCTTCCAGATGATTGGATACGTGAGATGCCCTCCAAGCTCTTGCGTCGTGCGTTCTTCCGCCATAAGCAGCATTTACGGTTAAAATTTTACCTTCATAAGCTGATACCTGTAGTTTAATCATTTTTATAAAAGAAAGTTAGAAACTTAATTTTCTACATTAAATATAGAATTTGTAACGATGCACCCCTTATGACAACGCATCGTCCTCGGCTACCACCCGCCGGGAGCCGCCCGACCGATTCCCCGTCGGGCGAGCACAGGGCACGGTGCGCCCACATTTTTTTAAATACTTGAAACGCACCGTGTGCGCGGGAAATCCGCCGCACCGGTGCCCTCCCGCACGACGCCGACGAGCGCCGAAGCGAGCCGATCCCCGCTGAAGCGAGCACGCGGGATTGCGCCGCTCCCACCACCGCACCATCGCCTGACGATCGGCCTCCCTCCTGCCAAGCTCACCGCGCCGAGCGATATAAAAAGCCGGCACGCTCGACGAAAAGACACTTCGTCTTTACCACGGCTTTCCGCCATTCCTGACAAAGATACCTTCCGAATCCTAGGGCAACACGCACAACGAGGTCCAGAGTTCTGGTTCTCGACTGAGGGTTCTTAGAGTGTTCTCGAGCTCCCTGATACTTGCCCCGACGACCACGGTACCGTGGGGTCGAGCGTGCTCGGCCTCGCCGCGAGAGTTCTCACAACCGTGATCCCGCGATTTCGCCATCCTCCGATGCAATATACCGCGCTATCTTACCCGTGCATCATATACAGCGTCCTGATAGCTGTAGCTGCGTTCCATGTGTAATATACCGCGCTCCGTACGTAGTCACCCGCGTTCCGTATGT